AAATCTATTTTATGTTCCACATCTTCTGATTTTTGATGCTGTTCATTATTCCTGTTTTAAATTATGTCTTTATCTTTTTATCACCTCACCCTATATTTTCATCATTTATATAAAAACAAAATGATTTGAGACTTGACCATATACAACAGGAATGGTAAACATAAAGACACAACTAAAAGTATTACTGAACTAATCAGGTTGTATATCTCACTCTCAGAAATCCAAATTCCATACCACAAGATTGTGTCCACAAATGAAACTTTTTATTAGTGAGTGGTGCCACTTTGGGAGAACAATAGTTATTAGTGTTCTAAAAAAGCTTTCTCCCATGTGTGCCAAGTGCAGGAAGATTATATATGAAATAAAATAACTCAAGAATCTGCAGAGCACACGGAGGGTTTCTTCATTCTCAAGGAAGGCAGTCTAGAGGCAGTCAGCCACAATGACCTTCCTAGAACAGTTGCTCTCTTTTGCATTATCAGCTTTAAATGGCCCTTGGTATTATCAGTATCCTCAGAATATATGCTAAGCATTAAGCAACCCATTAGCTTGGTCCTGAGAAATGTGGTGCAATGCATTAAACTAAGCTGCAAGTTCCAAGATGTACTGCATGTAACGAACAGGTCATGTCATGGTCCTAGACTCAGGCCTGACCACAAAAATTTGAAATAAAATTAGGTCTCCTGACATTTAGGTGAGTATAATTATTTAGTAAGTTGTCTCACATTTTCTTTGAAGAGATGATTATTAGATCTGTTCTCTGTGAGATTCCTTTGTTAAAAATTAATAGGAGATCAATTCAGTTACCTCAGCTAATCTAGATTCTATTCCTCTTCCCAGGAAAGCAGGCCAAAGAATCTGTTATTAGAGTCAAATAGCACCAATTTCACTTGTCAGCCTTTTTATACATAAACAAATATTATGATCCAATTAAAACTAGGAGATTAAATTTGTTGGGGAAATATGATTAAAGACAAAAATCTCCTGCCAACTCAGGGATTCTCTCATAACATAGTAGGAAAGATAACACTTTTATTATTGAAAAAAACATTAAACCAAAATGTGATGTGCATCACAGGAAATGTGCTAAGAGATCACAAGGAAAGAAAGAAAATCTCACCCTTTAATATACCCAAGCAGATATAACCTATTAAATATCAATTTTCAAAATAAACAAGAACCTACCCCAAAGTCAGAGGACTTGACATTACCATTGGTCACATAGTTCATCTTAACTTGACCTGGTAAATGGTGTGAACATCTGTATTAGCCAAGTAGATTTATTCAGAAAAGAAACAAACACTCATTTTCTTAGGAGGTAGTTTTGTAACTTGGAGCAATGAGCTCCCTGAAGTCAATCTTCTATCTTCCCACAGAAATGTTAAGATGGGGTGCTATTTCCCTTGATGTTTACATTTCAAAGAGATGGCTCCCATACCCTTGAGAAAGACTTTTTTTGAGTCCAAAAGCTAGCAAAAGGCTAGTTTTCAAAAGAGTTTTACATATATATATATATAAATTTCAAAGAGAGATGCTTACAATTTCAATGTTTCTAAGGGAAATTCCCTACAAATAGAAGGAAAGGAATTCTTTCCCCAGACTTTAAAGAGAGAACTCAGCCTCTTATTTTTAATTTATATATTTGCCCTGAGATGATGCCATTTCTAAAAAAATCTGATTATTTTGTGTCTCATAGTTTTCCTTTACACACCATAGACAACTCAGATTTAATCAGCTGATTTTGTAAAAATGATAATCTGGAGCTGAAAATCCATCATGTTAATCAATACCCAGCAAAAATATTAAGCTCATACTTTTAAATTTTATTTTGCATAACATAGAAACAAATTGTTAAAGGTATTTTACCAAAACTTTCTTCCTAAATATCAACAGAAAATTCTCCTTTGTGCATCTGCCCAATATAATTAAAGACAAATTGCATAGTTTCCAGAAATTCAGATATATTAATGAAATCAATGATAATTCTCATCTAACAGAGCAGATATTTGTTTTTCCACATAATTGTAAACTAGAATGATCAGTCTCTGAGTAATTTTTCCTCTTACCAAAAACTGCAAAAATAAAGCTTACGATTTTGATATTGTCAGAATTATATAACATTAACACATATATATTTGAGGGCATACTATGTAACAGATGCTACCCTAGCTAAGAGATAATTTGGGAACCAAAAAGCTCTTTATTACTGTGAGATAATGTACATATAAACAATTACTATATGATCATTTTATATAGAGATAATGATGTAAAGAAAAATAGCAGAAATGAGAGCCAGTATGAACTGCTGCCAATTTTGCTATAATTATTAAATTGATTACAAACAAAAATATTTTACTTTAAAGTAGCTTAGAAGTAATATTAATTATTAATTTAATCATAAACAGTGTTTTCTTATCTACAGATGTTATTAAGTAGTTTCGCACACTATTATTTTCAAATATTTCCCTTTTTCCATTTTTTTGTTGGCCTTCAAATTACAGGGATGTAATAGGCAGATTACTGGGAAAATTCTAAGTTTTGTACACAAGGACCTACATTTTTAAGTGTGTAATTAAGTATGAAATTTAAATTTCATATTATCAAGTAAAGTGGTTTAATTATAGACTCCTAATTGATCTTTGCAAAGCTCTTTTGGAAATAATAGTCATGAAAATATTATTAATAATTCCTGAAAGTGTGATATATTATTATGTCAAAATCAAAGGTGAGAAAGGATCCAATGGACTGTGGTGGAGGATTATGGGTGTTTTGGTGGTGGCTGTGGTGTGGTGACAAATGTAATGTAAAATACAAAAGATACAGAACTGATAACATTTAATCTTTACATATGCCCTAAGACATTGGCATACTTAGCTTTATTTTCTGATGACAAAAATTAAATCATAAGTATATAAGGATGCTTCCTGAAAAATGCTAGGAAGTATTCTATATAATCTTATACTAAGATTTTTCAGCAACATGGAGTTCTCTCTGATCTTGGCTTGGCCCAAAGTTATGAATGGAATCCTTCAGGAAATTGCCTGCCCTCTCTGATTTCCCTCCTTTCATAAGAACTGGAAAACCACCTTTTCACCTATACTTCAACTTATACAAAACAGCTTAGGATTTTCAATACAATCATCACTTTTTCATTACTTTTTAAGGCTATAAGCTGTCTTATTTTTGATTTCATTTTGTTGAACATTGCATTATAGCATTATATAAATTTCACAAATGCATCATTATAATTCAACAGTGCAGATTCTAAATCAAGTTGACCACTAAATGTCCAATTCTATCCTTTACCATACAATTGACACCCTTTACCTGATTTACATATTCCATTGTCCCTGTCTTTCTGGTAAACACTAATTGGTCTTACAACCTAAATGTTACTATAAACCATCTTTGTTTCACTTTGATACAAGACTTTTCTTTCTCTTTCTACAACTTTCATCACTTTCAATGCAAGAGTGATGAAGAGAATAAGATTCATAGATATGTTCATGGATTATGTTATTTTTTTATACCCTCTATTTTCAATTCTGTGTTTCATTACCGTTATGATACCATTTTTTATTTTAATAAATGTAATATCAAATGTTATTTAATAATATACATATGTATACATGACATTTTGAACCATGATTCAACCAATTACCTGGTATGTATTTTAATTCCTCATTATCATTGGCTTTTAATTTAAACTCAGAAAATAACAATTCTGGTACTTCAGGTGGTCTTGAAGGTGAGCCTAAGAACGTCACAGAGCATATGGTCGTGAGTCACAACCCATACGCTGAGCAGCTGGGGAACTGTCCCAATACAATCCAGGCAGAAGAATGATTAGCTTTCTCAAGTGGCAAACCAGAATGACTCCATACTTATAGAAAATGGGAAGAGTAAGTGTAAGATTAAAGATGGGATAATGAAAATCTACAGAGAATAAGACCACCAGTCTTCTTTAATGGTAGATTGTGTCATTACTCACACAAATTTACTGCTTCTCCCTGAGAAAGGATTATTCTTCTTTGGCTATCAACAAAGGTTTATTCATGTTACTTGATGCCCTATGAAATGTGAAGGAAAATGAGGTGCTTAACTTTTTTTGAGCAGTGCATTTAAAAACATTGCCATTTAATGACCTGGTCCCAAGCATGGACCCTAGACTGATGGTGACAAAGGGAGAAGATGGAGCTGACCCTTAAGGAATAAATAACATGAGATGAAAATAAAGATTTGTATTAATCAGTTGGAACCTTTTTTACTGTAACATAAATTAACATTCTCTGAGAGGCATTTGTCTTCACACTTGACTCCCAGATTCTGGCAGCATGGCATATACTTTCCAGGAGGAAGATGATAACAGATTACACTGGGAATCTGATTAGTCAAGGAAACAAGACCTAAAGAGCCTACCAGTCAGGAGGATTCCAGCTCATCAGTACAGTCAGTTGATAAATTCCTAGAAGGAATTTTCAATCATTCACATAGGAAAACCATAAACTGAAATCTAAAGTAATCTATATATATATAGTTACAAATATCTAAGATGACACAAGCAGACACACATAAACCTGGAAACTACCCTAATAATGGTGTTCATCTAGAATAAGTGCTCTAGATGAATAAGTGTCATTCTTTCTAGAAACTCAAATTTTTTAGTGCCCCATTCTTAAACAAGCAAGCAAGAATAACAAGGGGTCATAGCAATGATTTTAATGGAAACACAGAATCAAACCAAACCAAGAGAGAGGAATTTGGTGGAAATTTGGACTTCTTTTTTAATGTAAGCACTTAATATATTCAGAAGTAAAGATAAGATGAAGGATCTATGAATCTTGAACAGAATACTATAAAAAAAGTAGAGAATAAAATGGAGATCTTGAAAGTTATAGAAATTTTGAAAAGCACTACACTATAGAATTGAAGAAATAAAAAAGAAACTAAAAAACAGAAGTTAGTTAAAATAAATTAGATGACCAAAGACTCAACATATTAATAACAGGAATCTCAGACAGAAAATAGAGCAGGGCTTCCCTGGTGGTGGTGGGGAGGGGGTGAGGCTTGAGCGCAGCACTGTGAAGCTGTCCGCAGTCTCTGCAAGGTGGTTCCATCCATGGCCGGCCAGGTAGAAACCCACATGGTGAAGCAGACCTCTCCTGTCTGACCCACTGTTCCCCTCAGCAGTGTATTTCAGTCAGTCTGCCTGTTCTGTTCTCCGCTCTGTCTCTGGTGAATCCTCTCACCCTCCTGCACCTCAGGCCTGTACCCCAATTCTTGTATACATACATAAATAGATCTTTAAAGAAAATAGAGCAAAAAAGGAAATTTTAGAAAATAACAAAAGACATTTTCAAGAAATATAAGACCTTCCATTTCCAAATAGAAATCCCTGACAGAGTAGCCAAAACAACCACTATATAAAAATGAACCTCCAGAATTCCATTTCTTACATTTTTATGAACTGTAAATATTGAAAGATTCTTCTTACAAAATACTATATTTTGAGAAAGCAAAATATCAAGATGTTTAAAAGAGATTGAAAGTAATTAGGAAAATAATATCTAAAATCGGCAAAAAGAGTAATGGTGAATATTGGGAAGTAAGGAAATACTTATAAATTTATCAAAAACTGATATTTTACTATACAGTATGAATATATATTTGCACAAACAAAAACATAAAAAAAGTAATTTATATTTCTGTACTTTGATTAACATTTTTGGGAACTGAACCTAATTATCATACTGAGGAAGTGGTAGACTGTACATAATTTTTCTTATTTAATATTTTGATAATTCTTTACTTCAATTATATTTCATGAATTTAAAGCAGAAATAGGTTGTTGTTTTTTTTTCCTCACATCATTTGTATAATTCCAATTATTTAAATTTTATTTGATGCTTTATATTCTTTGATCCTACAGAGGGCTTTTAGTTATTTTACAAAAACACAAAAGTAATATAGTATAACATACATATTTAACATACACATATACTGCTACTTGGAAAGAGAGCACTATTGTTAGACATTCTATTTAAACAGATTAATTTAAAATATTCTTGTAAATATTTTTATCTTAAAATGTATTTTGTAAATATTACTGTTAAAATCCAAATCCTTGGGTCTCCCTGGTGGCACAAGGGGTTAAAATGCAACCTATGAAGCTATCCGCAGCCACTGTAGCGCAAGTTCAATTCCCGACCAGGGAGATACCAACATGGTGCAGCAGACCTCTCCTGACTCACCCGCTGCTCTCCTCAGCAGTGGATTTCAGTCAATCTACCTGTTCTGTTCCCCACTCTGTCTCTGGTGAATCCTCTCACCTCCACACACATACCTGTGGCCTGTACCCCAGCTCTTAAAATAAATGAATCTTTAAAAAAAAAAATCCTTTTGAGGAAAAGGGTGACTTTGTTCCAAATTATATGTGGTTCATATATTCACTACATAAAATGATTGAAATAGAAGATGATAAATCTCAAATTATTTTGATTTTTTATGTGCATTTTCCCTTAAAATTAGAGGCAAGATATACTTTATACAAGCACATAAAATATTTCTTCAATTGTTTCTGAAAATACAGAACCTAGGATATATCTTCCATAAAATTTTTGTGGTTCAAAGATATAATTTGCTAACTATACCCCCACCAGCCAAAGGTTATGTGAGATTTCCTAAAACACTTGTACATCTGCAGCTCAAAAGAAAATGTTTAAAGTAAGGAAAAAAGATAAATACCAGGTAATTTCATTCATATGTAGGACATAAAGAAGCAAACAAACAGCTAAAACAACAGTCTCACTGCAAAGATTACCAGAGTGGGAGGTTGTAGGTTGATGAGTCCTAGGCGGAGGCTGTCCAATGGACTATGATGAAGATTATGGATGTTTTAGTGGTGGGAATGGTGTGGTGACATATATGTGAAGAGAAGTGAACCTATATTCCTAAATCATATACATTGTGGTAAACCAATCTCATCTCAATATAAAATAATGTAAATAAAAAATTATTTACAAACTATAATACAACAGGAGCAATGTTGGGTCCTGGAAATGTAGAGATGAAGTTCACAAAATGTTCTGTCTTCAGGAGGTCATGGCTCTGGGGAAAGACAGACGAGAACTCAGTTATAATGGAGGAATTTATATATTACAGTGGAGACATTTAACATATTCTACAAGAACTTATTCCACCAGGAGAGATTTCACTGAAGCAAAAAGTAACTAGAAATTGAGAGAGAAATAATGTAACACAAAAGCTTCCTTCCCAGAGATATGAGTTTGATTCAGGCACACTGTTAATGTGAATTTTGATGAGGGAAATGACATAGAATTTTGTCAAAGGATCATTACTTCAATCTATCTTTATATGAATATGTTTATCCAGAATGTACAAAGTACTTTAAGGTGTGTCAAAGTAGAATTCTCTTTTAAATATTTTTAATATCTACCCATGTGAGACAAATAAAGTTAAAATAAATAAGTAAAATAAAATAAAACACAAATAACAATAAAACAACTTATGAAAGGTATTTAGAAATGCCACCAAGCAACTTAATGATGTTGTGCAGAACTGTTCTGGAGACTCATCCAGCTCTAAGAGGATGCACAATCATTGATTTTCACCACTTCCAAACATTACAAAGAAAGACTTGAGCAATTAATGATTTGCCCACAGTCCAGCAATAAGTTCTCTTGGTCCCTTGTTCAATTTTTTTTTTTCCTTCCTAGGACTCTAATGGCAGCTCAGAGGTCAAAGAGAAATACTCATATTGTATTTGGGGGGGAAAAAAGCAAATATTTTTCAGAAGTCTTACTTGGCCTATAATTTCACTGCCTTCTCCATTATGCTTCAGAGAATCTGACACAGAAGCTCTGAATGTGGTGAGTTCTGAACACAAAAATAGAATGTCTATGGTTTTATTCATATTTAGGAGCAGCAGTTTGAAGGAAGTGAAGCTGCAGCTGTACTTTTCCACGTTACTTAGCAACTGGTATGAGTCAAGAAAAATCACTGAAACTCATAGGCACTAGTGGGAACATGACAAATGACATTTGGAAAAAAACTGATGAAGTCGATCTACCTGTCGACTATCAACATGCTATTAAGAAATAAAATAAGGGTCATTTCTACATTAATGAAGTAAATTTAATTTTAAGGGTTGGCAGCCATTGTACAGGGAGGCACCCTAGCACATGGCACAGTGCCTCTCAAATAGATTCTCCAGTCAGATTTACTGAGCTGAATTATTAGGCAACTATTTCTGGCCTGAACCATTGATTTAGTTTATAACAGATAAAGATAATCTTCATCTTTGCATTGGCATATTTTGGGTAATTCATTAGTTCCATGTTTATGATTTGTCACAATAAAAATGAGAAATATTTTGAGGTACTTCAAATGTCTCTAAAATCACCATATGTGAATATGCACAACTAAAATATGGGGGACATTTAGGTAAGAAGAAATAAAACCTAAAAAGTGAAATATATATAAAACAAATCTGTTAAAGAAGTTGTAAGAGAATAGTGATATATGAGTTACTTGGTATTTAGAAAAAAATTTTGCTTTTGAATTTAAGAAATATTATTTAAAAAACACAGATAAAGTTTTCCAAATAGAACTCTAAATATTTAAAAGTTGAGAGCACTGTTGATTAATGAAAATCACGCTTACTAGAAAATATATTTTTTTATTTATACAAGAACCAGGGTACAGGTCAGATGCACGGGAGGGTGAGAGGATTCACCAGAGACGGAGTGGGGAGCAGAACAGGAAGATCTAAAATACACTGCTGAGGGGAGCAGTGGGTGAGACAGGAGAGGTCTGCTGTGCCATGTGGGTCACCTCCCTGGCAGGGGATCAAACTCATGCTGCAGTAGCGGTGGATTGCTTCATGGTGCTGAGGCTTAACACCTTGTGCCACTAGGGAGGCCCCACACAGTCTTTATATGAATTGTTCATTGGTCTGTTCTCGGGACCAAGAACATGTGCATTGTACATTTGTACCCAAGGCAAATTAAATGAACATATGGACAGTAATCAATATAGACATTTTCTGGTCAAGTGGATTTAGAAATTCAAAGGCAGGATATAATGTGGAATGAAGGGAGTAGGCAAAAAATGAATGCAAGGCCTTTAGAACATGGTTTTCAAACTTGGCAAGTGGAAAAGATGCTCTCTGAACAGAAGCTTTAAAGCTGGCTCATGATAACCTCTGTTCTTTCTTTCCACTGTGGTAAATGCTGAATGAAGCCTGTGTAGAGGTGATGGCATCAATATGTTGGAGACCTGTCCATCTAGATTCAGTCAGTGACTAGTAATTTTGGCTTTTTAAGTTTAATTTTAATTTAATTTTGCAGTTACATTGGGAGGAACTTGAGATGATTATGTTAAATGAAGAAATTAACTTTGAACTGTAAAGAAACTTAGATGTGGTCCCTTATCTCCTAGGAAGTTTTTGGACAGACTTCAGGAAGTCAGTGTATCCATTTAAATTACATATATAGGGCCTCCCCGGTGGCGCAGGGGTTGAGCACTGGGTTGCGAAGCTGCCCGTGGCCTCTGCAGCGCCGGCTCGATCCCCGGCTGCTCCCCGGCCACCAGAGGAGGGTCCCACATGGCGCGCAGACCTCTCCTGCCGCCTGCTGCTCCCCTCAGCAGTGTACTTCGGTTCTTCTGCCTGCTCTGCTCCCCGCTCTGGCTCTGGTGAATTCTCTCACCCTCCCGTGCTTCTGACTGTACCCAGTGCATGTATAAACAAAACAAACAAACAAACAAATAAATAAATAAATAAAACATGCCTCTATTTAAAAAAAAAATAAAATAAATAAATTACATACATAAAGTTGGTATATATGTATTTTTCTGAGAAAAGGGCTCATAATTTCATTAGAATTTGAAAGTGTTGCTTGAGCTCTCTGCTCTCATCATAGCTTCCTACAACCCCCGAAAATAAGCAAACAAACCAACAAAACAAAGAGAACTTGGTTTATATACCAGTAGAAGAATTTTACATCAAGTTAGAATTAAAATCCACGTCTTGTTACTAATCTTTGTGTTCTTTCTAGAGTATTTCCATTGGTATGTTTTATCTATTGTGAATAAAGGGCATTTAAGCATTTCATTATTTGAGCCTGACATCAGGTACTAAGGTTCTAAAACTAATGCATCTCTTCATATATTATTTAATATTACTATAATGAAAGGGCACAAAGGACAGGAAATCTCATCTATCCAGTATAGTCATAATTTTATTTATTTATTTATTTAGGAGACCAAAGATAATGGGGTTTGTGACTAAGAGCACAGCCTCTGGAACAAGATTCTGGATTAGAATCCTGAAAATTATGTGACCATGGATTAATTACTATCCAGCTCTGTGGTGTAGTTTCCTGATCTGTAGAATTAGGATTTATAATAGTGTAATAATCATATGATTATTGTGAAATAATTTAGTGTATGGGAAGCAGGAAGTATCATAGGATGAGTTTAAGAGTCCTAATTTTGTTAACAGGCAATTAAAAATCAGAGACATTCTGCAGGGGAGGGTAAGGGAAAGGGATCAAAACAGGGGAGAGGGCCCCCTGGTGGCACAAGGGGTTAAGACTCAACCTATGAAGCAATTCACAGCCTTTCCAGCACAAGTTCGATCCTTGGCCATGGAGCTACCCACATGGCACAGCAGACCTCTCCTGATACCTGCTGCTCCCCTCAGCAGTGTACTTCAGTCAATCTGCCTATTCTGTTCCCTACTCTGTCTCTGGTGAATTCTCTCACCCTCTGCACCTCTGGCCTGTACCCCAGTTCTTGTACGCATAAATAAATAAATCTTTAAAAAAAAATAACAGGGTCTCCCAGGTGGCACAGTGGGTTGACCGCAGCGCTGTGAAGCTGTCTGCAGCCTCTGCAGCACCGATTCGATTCCCAGCTGGCCAGGGAGAATCCCACATGGCGAGGCAGACCTCTCCTGTCTCGCCCACTGTTCCCCTCAGCAGTGCTTTCGGTCCATCTTCCTGTTCTGCTCCCCACTCTGTCTCTGGTGAATCCTCTCAGCCTCCCACACCTCTGGCCTGTATCCCAGCTCTTGTATAAATAAAAATAAATCTTAAAAAAACAAACAAACAGGGGAGGGAAGAGCACAAAGGGCTATGGCAATAGTTGGGGGGATGGTGTGAAACACCTGAGAGGAAAAAGCAAACGTTGTACAAAAATGAAGAGTGATATAAAATATATATAAATAAATAAATTATAAAAGAAAGCGTTCCAATTTTCATGGTTCTTATATACAACAATTGCATTTATCCAGTTTAGTCAAGTAATGTCAGCCACCCTCCTCCCAAGAAGGTCAGAGTTCAGCTATCATACTACATAAACAGGGAGTTCTTCCAGTAAGTACTTTGCTGCTTGCTCCTCAGTGCAAAGCCACTACAGAGATAACAGACATATGTCTTGAACAGTAGCCATTCACATCACTTCCCTCAAAGGCTGTCAGTAATTGCTCACAGGCAGCAAAGCACTTAGTTGGCTCTCCTCCTTGTCTTGCAGATATCAACTCACGTGGCTTTTATAAAAGTGGATAATTGAAAGAAAGAATTGGACAACAAAGATGAAGGGGCAGCAAATAACTGAGAAGAATTGAAATTAGGAAACATAAGGTAAAGGGAGTTAAAGGAAATATTTGTTAATATGAATAAAATGGCTTTGACACAAAGAAAGTAATGCTGGCAAAAATATTTGATGTTGAGCCTCCCTGGTGGCGCAAGGGGTTAAGACACAACCTGTGAAGCTATTTGCAGTCACTACAGCATGAGTTTGATCCCCTGCCATGGAGCTACCCACATGGCACAGCAGACCTCTCCTGACTTGCCCGCTGCTCCCCTCAGCAGTGTATTTCAGTAGATCTGCCTGTTCTTCTCCTCACTCTGTCTCTGGTGAATCCTCTTACCCTTGGCCCCACAACTCTGGCCTCTACCCCAGCTCTTGTATGCATAAATAAATAAATAAATCTTTAAAAAAATATTTGATGTTAAAAGATCTTTCAGGGACATTTCATAATATTGCAAGCAAAAAGGATGGAATATTAGTTTTCATTCCAACTGATCTCAGTTTAGCAAGGAGAATGACAACTTGCCAAGGTGTAGGAAAATGCTCACTTTGTTTAAATTAAACATATGAAAGTAGAAAGCAGACAAACTACTTCGATAAGTTTTTACAAAGAAATAAAAACTTTGATTCTCAAGGGTTCTCTGTTTTAAATTCCAATGGACTAAATCAATTTTAACTTTACTAATTTTATTTTCCTATATATTTATAATCTATAGCAAAAGTGTTTTTAAATTTTGACAAAAGAATTTAAAGATGACAGAACAATTGTGATCTTGCTCATAGATTATGAGTTTTTTATGAGTTCATCTTCCATGGTTATTTTCACATGGCAGCACTATGATACTTAGTGAAATCAGAATGTAATAAGTATCTACAAATTATGTATGTAGCTTTATTTATCATCTTCCATGGTCATTTTTAATTTTTTCTTATTGTTTTATTAAATTTTGCTTTTATAAAATTACATTGTTTCTTGTTAATTAAAATATTTAATTTTTTTTTATTTTAAACTGGCTAAAACATTCTTTTTCAGATTTCGGTGTGTTGCTGCACTTCTCTTTTATTTTTATATAGAAATTTTTAATTGTTAATTAGTGAAACCATTTAGTCTTTTCTTTTTGGCTTCTGTACTAGATGCACTAGCTAGGTAGCCTTTGAGAAGTTAATTAACCTCTCAGTCTTTCATTTTATTATCTATAAACTAGAGATAACATTACTACTTTCCTCCTACAGTTATAGTGAAGATTAATTAAATGCATATGTGTACTAAACCTTATAACACATATTACCCCACAGGAAAAACTCTCTAACTATCCAAGTTGCTTTTATTATTAACAAGTACAAAGAAATCTATTAGATGCTGAAGTGGAGCATTAAAAAGACAATCGTGCTATCCTTAAAAGTTTACAGTCTCTAGGCAGAATGGGAAGTAAAGGTGCTTGAACAGCGATAAGGGTTAGAATACAGATGGAAAACACAGGGGACTAAGAGGGCATCCCTGAATATAAGTCAACCCACATTACTGGCATCACAAGAGGTGACAATCATACTGAAATTAAGGTGAAGGAAGACATTTAAAACAGTGAAAATAGAATGTGCAGAGAGAATGTGCAAACTGAGCATGCCAAAATTTAGCAAGTAAGTACATGTGGCTCAGAATGGCTGGAAAAATTGGAGTTAATGCTACAAACACTCTTGAAAAGGAATGGAAATGGCATAAAGTTTATCAATACTGCAACAATTGAAACATGAAGACTGGCTTATGGAGACGCGAGGCACAGCAAACACTAGAATGTAAAAAACAGCTGCAGGAAAGACCCACATGAATGATGATGGGGCCCTGAGCACCGGTAGTATGTGGAACTGTTACAGGGAAAAATAAGGGGTACCTAGGACCCCCAAACCTGCCCACTCTGAATGCATTCTGCCATCTACTACATCAAGAAAGAACATATTCTAGTGCGTAAGAATTTCAATAGAAAAGAACTTAAATACAATTAACGTGCAATAACTAGTGTGTGCTAGAGAGAAGGGAAAGAGAAAACATACAGTTTCCAGATTAAGCACCCAAAGTTATGATTCTCTCACGGGCAAATGTCCAGCCAAGCAGGGTTGGCCGAAAGCAGGGCCACCGAGGCCGGAAAGCCTGCCACAAGTCTAAGGCACAATCTGGTGGGGACCATGAGGAAAGGGGCAGAAGGTTGAGGCAAGTCTGGAAGGAAATGAGCAAAATAAAAACCAAGATTAAGACCGCCATTGTCAGTCTCCCCACGGGTCTCTCACCCAGGACTGGTTCAAGCGTCTCCATCCATGTCCTCCAAGTCCCTAGTGTAAGGCCAAGAAGCAAGCACACCTTTTCCACATCTTTCAGCTCCATTTGCCTCCTCCACTCTTCTTCCTCCATATCTCTGCTTCTTCCCCAGCAGCTTCCTCTCAGTCCTTTATTCCCAGTTGCTTTTTAACTGCCCCTCCGGGTCTATCTCCTCCCTTCCATAGGGTGGGGCAGGCAATTTACAGCATTACAGAAGGGGAAGAATTTAAGAACTCTTAAGGTGACATTAAGAAAGTAGAACCTACTTGATACAGACTTGGTATTGAAGGAGCAGCTTCTCCAAAGTGAATCTGAATTTAAAGGTGCATTCCTACAGGGAAAATCTGATTATGAAATATTTTTCAATGATACTAATTTAAAAAATAAGCTTAGCAATATTCTTTTATTTCAACTACATAGCTGCATAATTAAGTACAGATAGAGATTTTTTTCCTATGAAGATAATGTGGAGGAATTTTTTTGTAAATGTGATGAATTACATAACAGTGCTTTATCTCAAAAGGTTTAAGGCTCTGTAACAAAGAAATTCTGAGCTCTTAAGAGCAGTGTGACATTCTGGGTATACCTAATTCATTTGCATCTTGACGTCCTTTTCATGAGGACCCCCAGGAGAAATTGCTGTCTGACTTAAGAATGAAATATAGTGTATGTCTCCTTAGCAACTGTTTTGTTTGTATCTCATGGACATTGTAAATTTTATAACTTACAAGCCTGTCTATTTGCATGTCAAATCTATTTTTGTGGTTTATCTACGGTAGACTTGTGGGTTATTATGACATTTTTTTATTCCACTTTGCTCCTACATCTATTTTCTGAAATGGCACTCTTATCTTTTCATTTTATGCATCCTTGTAAGGTATCTTAAATCAGTTGGGGAACAATATGTGACATGCATAATAGATAAAAATCATTCCCATGGCTTGAATCTCTCTGCATTGGGAAATGTGTTTTCTATCCATTAAAGGTTGAAGAGTCCTCCTTATCCCTTCCTTACATCCTGTAAAATTCTTCCTTGCAAAATGACTTTCCATGGAGTTGATGCTTTGGACATACACAAACTTAGAGAAAGGTATCTAAAGAACTGAGCTACTAATGTTGTGCCCAAGATCAGCAGACTCAGCGAGCATAGCCTCCAAGAATCCAAAGACAGCTGATGCAAATGCAAAAGGGAGTTTATTACGGGCTTGAGTCTGGGCTCATGGCACCTACCAATGCAGTGGCAGATAGTGAGAGCCCCGAAGAGAGGAAGCAGGGGTCTATTATAGGGTCACAAGCGGCGTGAATTTTGAAAGAATCTGGCAATTACTCATTGGCTACTACAAAGGCATTTTGGCGTGCACGGTTATAGTTTCAAACTGATTGGATGGTTAGTGATGCTGTCCCATTTATGGATAGGACCACCCTCATTGGCGGCTGGGGTGGTCTGCTTTTTTGTCACAAGTGGAGCGAGGGTTGTGACTATTGAAACTATCTCCGGAATGCGGCTGTACAAGGACTAACATATCAAGGTGGAGGATATATAAAATGGTGAAACCTTGGCTAAGCTTGGTTCCACACTACCTCTGTGATTCTGAAAGTTTTACCAGTCCTTGCCTTGAACTATGACCTAGAAGATGATGACACCTCCTGATACAGGTGAAAGGACTGTGGCTTACGTGCTGCAAAGACAGACATCCCTCCTCACTGCACAGACACAGGGCAGCCCCTCACTCCATTTATGTGAAGGCTGTGGAGAATGTGTGGGCTAGAGCAAAAAATCTCATGGATACCCAATGTTTGACACCCCCTGTGTATTGTGAAAACCTCCTTACACAATTCTACTGGGAATTTCAAATTCATTATGCTATGGAAGAATGATCTAATTCAAAGGCATTTCTGCTTTGATAACTTATCTACCTTGAAAAATCACATTTCTTATTTCTATTTTCTGACTTCATAGGAAGTAAAAGAGAACACATTTGACAGCATTTGAAAGATAATTGGTGGTGATACAGAAAATCATATCACTTTGAACTACAGCATAAAAATGACAAATCTATTACATGGGATCTTTTTTCTCTCTCCATCTTTGGATATTTGGTACTAAAATGGATCTAATTCATATAAAAGGCAGCATTGTAATATTTCAGGCCTACATTTCGATACATCATTTATTAGGGCTTAAAAGTCTTTACTACCAAATGAAAAGTGTGTTCTGCATAGCAGCAGAAGGGAGGAGGTCGTCCCAAAGAGAAGTGTGACATTTTCTTTCACTGTATTTTTTTCTTTAGGGTAGAAGACCCTCCATTTATATTTTATTTTCTAGGTAAAAGTTGCTTGGAGATAGAATAAGTTAGAAATGAATTATATGCTAGTCTCAGCAATAGAGCTTGCAAAGCTGATTCTCTTAATTAAGCATTTAGGTCAATGAAAGAGATAATTCCCATTCTTTTGACATTCAGTATATGAAAATGTAATTTCATACTATTTTCTTATACATGATAAAACTGATATAACAAATAAGCTCATCTGCTAGAGATACAAAAACAAATGCAATAATCAAGTCTTTGGAAAGGGATTCTGGTGTTTTTATAGCAGTAAAGGATCATATGAAACAAAATGGTTTGTCTTAGTAATAAGTAAGATAATGGATAAAAAGCTTTCAGGGGACTTGCTAATTGTATTTCCATTATCGTCTAGGAAAAGTGTTAGATTTTTCTAGCCTCAACTTCTCTGCATTTAGTATATGAGTCTTGATATTTCTTTCAAAATAATGTTATACAGATTAAATTGAAACAATTCACTAAAAAGTTTTTGAGATGTATGTAGGAATTCTAGACATGATGTCCATACTCCTAAATTTGGGTCCATACTCCTCTGATACTAACTCCACAATACTTCCCTTTAATTATACAACATACAACAAATTCTGTGATCTTTGAACAGTTGGTTGCAGTGGAGGCATGGATAAAACTGGTGAAGAAGATCTTATTTCAGGTATGGAAATGGCTGTACAATGGAGCACCCCATAAAGAGTCTAACCTTTGACTCCCCAGGTTGAAGTCAAGGAGTAAGAGTAACTAGTCCCTCACCCTCAGCTCCAAATAAAATTGAGAATGTTTTTTTAGCTTACAGATTCTGTTGCTAGTCTTTGACAGCATGCATACAGAGATTTGGGAGAGCAGCAAGATTTCTTAAGAGGCCCCAGCAGAGTGGTGACAGTGAGCCCTATAACTCCAGGCTGCAGAGAGAGAGACTCCAATACCTTTGTACTTTCATGGTTCCCACTGCAAGAGGTGCTCCCACAAACAAACCTGAAATTCTATGGAGCCCAGAAGGAAAATGGTAACCCACCAAAGGCAGTCCACCAGCCAGAGAATGGATAATCAGCAGTGTTCAGAATGTACTTAGTGAAATATAATTATTTTTTTTTTTTGAAAAGTAACATTGGTTTACAATATTTTATTGGTTATATACACAATTATATACCAACATTACTATATTCCACATGAAGTTTGTCACACAGCATACACTGAAATTGGACTGTTTAATGAGAAAAGAGGATCAAATAAAATGAGAACATAAGATGGTGAGCACCACTAAAATTCAAAACTCAAACCAAAAAATGAAAACAAAATATGCACATGCATGACAGCACACACATACACACACACATACCCCCATAGACATACAAAAAATACCAGCAATAACTAGAAAGAAGACCCTTAGTCCCCAAATGATCATTCTGTATCTTAAAAACTTAATTTCATCTCAAATTATACTCCATATTGAGATCCAGAAAGATTTAGCAAAATTCTGGGACCAGATAATATTAATATTTTGAGGTAGCTTGCAAGTAGTATAAATTCTCCAGTCTTCACAGTAAGCACAAATACAAAGAGACATTTTTTCCAAAGATATTTAATGCAAGAATATTCATAGAGAAACAAGATGAAAGGTAATATCAAGTAAATGACTGATTATAGCATATCTGCAGTTACCTTGTATAGTACATGCTGTACTATAAAATTTACCCAAGAAAATGGGCGTAGCTTTTTTTTTTTTTTTAAGATTTATTTATTTATACAAGCACTGGGTACAGTCAGAAGCGCGGGAGGGTGAGAGAATTCACCAGAGCCAGAGCAGGGGGCAGAGCAGGCAGACTGAAGTACACTGCTGAGGGGAGCAGCGGGCGGCAGGAGGGGTCTGAGCTCCATGTGGGACCCTCCTCCGGTGGCCGGGGAGCAGCCAGGGATAGAACCAGCGCTGAGGAGGATGCGGGCAGCTTCGCAACCCAGCGCTCAACCGCTGTGCCACCGGGGAGGGCCGGGTGTAGCTTTTTAATACAGGGGGAACGCTCAGGAAAAGAGGTAGACTGAGTCATAAAAAAATCAAAACCATGGGCCTCCCTGGTGGTGCAGCGGTTGAACACTGGGTTGCGAAGCTGCCCGCGGCCTCTGCGGCGACGGTTCGATCCCCGGCTGCTCCCCGGCCACCGGAGGAGGGTCCCACATGGCGTGCAGACCTCTCCTGCTGCCCGCTGCTCCCCTCAGCAGTGTACTTCAGTCTTTCTGCCTGTTCTGCTCCCCGCTCTGGCTCTGGTGAATTCTCTCACCCTCCCGCGCTTCTGACTGTACCCTGTGCATGTATAAATAAAAAAATAAATAAATCTTTAAAAGAAAAAATCATAAGATTAGTCAAAATCTATATATAAAAAGAAAATATTATATGAACATTCATTTATAGTGGATTATTTTTTTTAAACATACTTTTAATGTTAGTCAAACCCTCAGTTTCTTTTTTTTTTTTTTTTTTTTTTTTTTTTTGTGGTACCCTCGCCGGTGGCCGGGAATCGAACTGGTGCTGCAGAGGCCGCGAGCAGCCTTGCAACCCAGTGCTCAGCCGCACTATTTTAACATTGTTTTTATCCAGTGGGTTTTGTTTTCCCTGGCTCTGCTAACTTTATCATTATTTACAGGAAAGTCACATGAAAAATGACACATTGAATTCTAAGAAGACTAGAAGATGAATGTTAAAGCAAGAAAGGCTTTAGGAATCAAATGAGTCAGTCCCCTCATTAAACACATGATTGAATTATAGTG